AAAAATGATGCCTCTATTGTTTCTGGAACTGCTTTTTTATAGATGGTTTTCATTACTTTATTTATCTGACAAGTAATAAGTGTTCCCCATTTGGCTCTTGAATCCTTTATTGCTCGTTTTGTTATCGGATCTTCCAATGAATTTATCCACTTTATTAATGATTTTTCAAGTTTGGATTGGTCTAATATTGGTTGTTCGTCGCTTGTTCTTTGTTGTAAATCATTTGAAATTTTATCTGAACACTGGGTTTTTATATTGATTTGTTGAGTGGTTTGACAAGTGAACAGTGTTGTAGTCGTGTTTGAGCATTTTTTAACAACACCAAATAAACACAAATCAAGTGGTTGTGATAAATGACTTCTATGAGGGACTATAAAATGCAATATTATGTTGTGCGATGCAAATAATGATTTTAATCTTTCATAAATATGTGCCGAACAATTATCTAATAAAATAACCGCTTTCACGTCACTGTTTAAACCAACTTCGGATATTCTCTTTAAAATGTAACCCAAAACGCGTTCAATCATCCAAGTTTGAAAAAAATATATTTGTTAATAAAACCACTCGGATTTGAATAAACTGTCAAATCTGTAAAACTCAATGATACTGAATTGCTAAAATGTTTGTTAGGAATCACCATTCCAGGAGTGACAAATTTACCGTCAGCTGATATGCAAGCTATTACAGTTGATCTTTTGCAATTTCTTGATATTCCAACTTTATGTACAACTTTGGTTTTGTCGGTAAACACTCTAACTTTTTTACTGTCGGAGTATTCATTGAAACCTATTTCGTCGATGTTAAAAACTAATTCGAAAGGTGTTCCATTGAAGTTTTCAGCAAATGTTATATAATTGTCTAACACATCTTGTGGTTTGCATTCAACCCTTTCCAGTTTGTCTGGATTAACAACAACAGTTGTTTTATTGTGGTATTTTGCAACGTGTTTTACAATTCCGTCAATTGTTATATTGAATGTTGGTTCAAATTGTTCGCAAATTGAATGAATGAAATATGGAGTTACTGCTTTTGAGTTTCTCTGACAATATTTAAACACTTCACTAATTGCTACATCCATTTCGAAAGTAAAATTTGTGTGTTTTTTGGTTCAATTGCATAATGTTTTAAGTGTGTGTAAATGGATCCTCCTGTTAATCCGAACAAAACACTCAATGTTGCCTCGCTTGTTTTGTAAGTATTGTATATCATCTGTATCTGATTTACTTCTGTTGTGTTCATGAAAACGTCGTCTTCCAATTGTAAATACAATTCTTCGGATTCTTTAATGTTTTTAGGGATGGTTGTTGTTTTTTTTCGTCAACATACTTTTTGATTTTGAAATATTTGAAATCATTTCAATTCGGCTTAAAGCGGGTTTTCGTTTGCTCTTTTGTATTGGTGTTTCAAAGTCGATTTCATAATTACCATCCATTATCTTACGTTTTATTTCATCAACAAATGTATCAGTGTTCATTAATAATTAATTTTAGTTTAAACTCATAATCAAAATAAAAAATCGAAATTTTATGTAAATTATTATCCGATCCAATAATAGCTGCAGAAGGTTGATTCTTTGCAGAAGTTTATTTCGTCTAGCTGTAATACAATGGATAATATAATAAGTCCAATGCCATTTTAATCCAACTATAAACGTTAATTTCTCTTCTATGTTTTTCTTTCATTTCAAAGTTTGGTGTGTCAAATGGTATAGAAAAAGAAATGCGCACAATATTGAGATTGTCAAACAGTTGCAAATAGGTATAATCACAGCTAATTTGAGTAATTAGTAGCAACAACAAATCACAATATGACATTTGACAATTAACATTTAACTCTTCAATTGCTAGATTAGGCTCAATACCTACAAAATAACCAATTTGTTCAATGTTTACTTGTTAATTGTTCACAACAAAGTATGCCTTGCTGTGTCGAACAAATTCTAGCAATTCATCAAATCATCCTTTTGAAAATGTATCCGGTCAAAGAAATACATCTTGTGTCGTTAGTTAAGTTTGTTTCACAGAGTGTTTGTTTCTCTCGTAATGGTATGGGAGATATTGGTGTTTTAATTACAGTAAAGTCGAACTGAACACTTTCCATTCTAAAAATGTGATTTAGATTCTTGGGTATAAGTGTTAGTCGTCAGCACTATATTAACAGCTTCTTGTCTCAAAGTTCTCAGTGAAACTGTTTGAGCATGCATTTCATTTCTTAACTGACGTTGGAGTGGTTGACTTTTTGACAGCTTTTTTGATGTGTTTGGTACTTTGCGATGGTCTTGGTGGATTTTTAATGGTTCTCTCTTGTGTGTCTTTATTTGTTTCCTCTCTGTTTTGGACATGACTTGTTGATCTAATGGAGTTAGACAAGGGTCCAATAAAAATGGTGAATAGTAGTGATCGTTGCTGTGCAGAGCTTAGTAGTGGTTGTACGGGGAGTGGTAGTTGCTTCGCATGTAGTTGCGGCTGTTGTCGTGTTTCAACAGTTGTTTCAAACAAGCCATGGTGGTTTTGTTGATTAATGTTTTCCATTGTGTTTTTAAAATTTTGAGACTTTTAATTCTGTTTTAGGTTTTTTCAGAAAAAAAATTAAATAAATAAAAATTTCTAACCCTGTTGGAAAAAATGAAGGTATTTTAAATCTGAATTCATTCAAACTTTTTATTGCTCGTTGCCACTGTTTTGATTGTGAATTTTTTAATAAAAGTTGTTGTACTTTAATATTTTTATTAAAATATTGTTTGAACGCTTAAATCTGGCACAAATGAATTTAGGAAACCCGCATCAGTTTTTTCTTTTTTCTTTTATTTTACAATCTTTTACTAAAAATACGTTTTTGCTTATTTATATATATATTTTCTGTTGTTTCAGAACAAAACTGTACCAATTACAGTAAAAAGCATCTATTTGTGGGTTTTATATTTGTGGCTTACGTCTATTTGTGGGTCAATGGACCAATCAAATGCAAAACCCACAAACAGATGCTTTTTACTGTATCATGTTCACACGTTGAAAGTTGCTTTTTGTTGTACTCTTAATGACACTAAAAACGACGATAAATTTACACACGATGTTGAGATAACCGATTCTGTATTATCTACAATTATTAATTCCTATTGTGATAATTGATTATTTTTCGTAATGACAATTACTATTTTTTATTAACTAACTTTTTAGTAAATTGTGTTTTGCTTTTTACGACAAAAATGGGGTTTTCCAATATGCCAGATTTAAGCTTACAAACAATATTATAGTATCATTTTATTAATAATATAATTATAATTTTATAGTTTGTTTGATAAACTATTATATAAAAAATATGATAATTTTTATTATAAAAATATACTAGAAGCACTCAGAGAAATATAGTAAAAATCCTGTTTACTTAGAGAAAAATAGACCACTTGCCAGAGTAGTCCTATTTCCAGCCAACTCTCAATTGTTATATATTATATTATATTAAAATATAGTTTAGTTCTAGAATTGTTTTAATAAAAAGAACCATAAAACCATATGAACTTCAAAAGGCAGGTACCATGTCCGACGCTGAAGTCCCGAAAGTCCGTTTAGTGTGTATTGGTGATTTTGGAGTTGGTAAAACTTCTTTTATAAAGCAGATGACGACGTCGACCTTTGAAGCGAGTTCCACACCCGAGCTTTCTGAGGTGACTGTATACCCCTATCAATTACACAAGACGCACGTTGAGTTAGACTTCATCGACTCTTTAGGAGTTGAAGAGACTGATCCCGAGAACCATTTTTACTATCAGAAGTGTCACGGTGCTTTTCTTCTCTTTGACTTACATTCAGAAAACTCGTTTAAACGGATCACACAGCTTTATCAAAGTGTCAAGAAGTACTCCGCTCAGTTCATGGTTTCCGTCTTAGTTGGGACCAAGAGTGACTTAGGCGCATCCATAAGTGATTCTCAAGTCACCGAGTTTTGTACCACAAACAAATTAAAGTACTTCCCACTTTCCTCCTTGAAACATGACGGGTTCGACGATTGTTTAAATTCTCTTGTTTTAAAAATATGGGAAGTCTATGTTGGTAAAGACAAAAAGCACTGTTCAGTCGTGTAAATCATTTCTATTCCATCAAGTCGATTTCTATTAATTCAGTTCATTAATAAACAAATTCCATTCTGATAGTAAATTTAATTAATAGTATATAGTATATAATGCAATGATAATTCTTCTAGTAAAAGTATTAATTTGTTTCTATTAAAAATCGTGTCAATCATTTTTATTCATTTGAGTTTCTTTCTCATTATTCAGTTCCTTAATAAACAAAATTTATTTTAATAGTAAATTTAATTAATACTATCTAGTTTCATCTCTCAAAATAGAATTTTTTTCTTTGCTACAGTAGTTAAACAAATCCTATTTTAATAGTAAATATAATTAATAGTATATAGTATACAATTTAATAATACTTGTAGTAAAAGTATTAGTTTGTTTCTATTAAAAGTCGAGTAATTCAATTTTATTAAGTTTCTTTCGAATAATACAGTTCTCAATAAACAAATTTTATTTTAATAGTAAATTTAATTAATATTATTTAGTATACGATGCAAAACTCCTTGTATTAAAAGTATTAGTATATTTCTAGTTTGTTTCTAGTTTTTCTCTTTTCTCGTCATCATCTTGTTCCACGTCGTCATCGTCACTTTCGTCTTGTTCACTTTCCTTTTCTTCAAGATCGTCATCGTCATCTTTTTCACCGTCTTGGTCGTCATCTTCCAAATCCTTTTCATTGACATTTTCTTCCACAAATTTTTTTCGAGCTTTTTGTAACACTTTTTCCAATTTCTTGTCGAAGCCGGAAGCTTTCAATTCCAAATCCAAAGTTCCCGTCTTTTCGATTTGATCCAAACGCGGGGCCTCTTCAATAGAAAATCCAAATTTCTTCCAAAAGAAGTTTTTAATGCAGCCGACGTCGCGAGCGAATAAATCGGAAGCTTCCGGGTTTGTAGTTGAGATCATTTGAGGGAAGTCGATCATCACAAGAGTCTCGTCATCTTTAAGGATCAAATTGAACTCATTCAAGTCGCAGTGGACAAGGCCGACTTCGGCCAAGTCTATAGCGAGTTGGATTCCGGTCTCAAGGACTTTCATTGGTTCTTCCAAGTGATTAACACGGGACAATAGAGTTCCGTTAATCTTCGACATAACAACGCAGTGTCTATTATAATCGATAGGGACGGGTACACTCATTCCTTTGGTATAAAGAGCTTTCATGAAGCAATATTCCTTTTGTGCTGAGATCTTAGACAAATAGAGCCAATTTGTAGTCATTTTGTCAGTATAGTCTCTTTTGCTTTTGACTTGTCTAAAAGAAGTCCTCCCAAGTCGATGGAATTTTAAAACGACTTCTTCCCCTTTTTGGTTTGTAGCGGTGTAGATGTCTGCTTCTTTCCCTACTCCTATCTTTTGCCCTATTGCAGTAATAATGTCCCGCTGTGATAATGCACGTAGGGCTAAATAATCATACCCTAAATATGTTAAACGATACCCATTGTAGGGGGTTATCGTATGCCACACTAAACTATTCTTGTGAAGATCTTTCATACAACGACTCACTAAGGAAGACGTCATCTTACTCAATTGAACTATCAATTCTAATGGTACTAACTCGTGATTCCGCATCCCCATTTCTATCGCCGTTAAGACGCGAAAATCACTCTTCGACATGTACCGAAAGAACAAGGGATCAAGCTTCACCATTTTTTATTCAACACTTTCAAAGTTCTTCATCAATTCTTTATTTGAACTCTTTTACTATTATTATACTAGTAAGTATTAATGTATTAGAAATGCATTTGTTTAGTATCAATATTATAGTTTGAATTCTATTCTTTGCTTCAAAAGTAAAGTAGGTTTCCTTGTGCTAAAGTTTTAACCATTATTGTATAGCTTTTTATTAATAATTATTGGTTCTTGCAAAAATCATAAAATTGTTTACTGATATCTTAGAATTCAAAGGAAAAACTCATCACATTACATAAAAGACCGAACAATTTTCAATTTCTGGGTTGTATAACAAAAATAACCATTAAACAACTATATCAAAACCATTAAATAACTATTAAAAATAACTATTAAAATAACTATTAAAATAACACCAGTGAAGAAAAATAACTTATTACAAAGGGGAGTAACCACTCGTGTATTGCATATAGTTCCTCAGCATTGGCGAGCGCTCTTGATACAAGAAGAATCTATGCTATTCGTCAGTTTTTTTCTTCCCCATCCGATTACTATACTTAATAGTAAAAATACCATCTTTTACACCTTTACTTGTTACTGACATATATACTATTTATAATATGATATTTCTAGTATATATACATATAGTAAAATTATAGTAAAATTATTATAAAAAAACGATAAGAACAAACTCGAGACAGACTCTCACACGATGGTCTATTTTTAGCGTCATACTCGAAACACAAGTCTACGAAGTCCACGAAGTCTACTGGGGCCTTAGTTTCGTCTCTCAAATACTGAGCTCCGAAAGCTGCTGTTTTGAACATACCTTTAATGACGCCGTGTTCCTTATAAGGTGGTTGTGACTCCATCAGTTCTTGAGCAACACACCCGACGCTCCACACGTCTACCTTCTCGTCATATGGTTGTTGTTTAATAACTTCCGGCGCCATATACGACTTACTCCCCGCGCGATTCTGTGGCATCGAACTCTTCCTCACGACCAATCCAAAGTCGATGATTTTAATACAAAAGCGGTCGTCCATCAAGATGTTTGCCGTTTTAATGTCGCGGTGGATGAATCCGCTCTTGTGGATGTAGTCCAACCCGCTGAGGGTTGACAATAAAATGTACGCGATATCAGGAAACCCTAGACAATTTCCGCGGGGCTTGATCATCGATTTTAAGGTGCCTGTGGAACAATATTCCATCCCAATGTACACTTTGTGCTCAAACATCCAACAGCCGGAGGTCTTAATGAGATTTTGATGGTTCCAGAGTTTCATGCGAGCGACTTCACTGCCGATTTTAGCGTACCGCTCGTCGACGGAATGTTTTAAAACTTTGAGAGCGATGGGAGTGTTGGTCTTGATGGAATAAGCACGAAAGACTTCACCAAAGCCACCTTTGCCAATTGATGTGAAACTTTTGAATAATAATTTGGGGTCCCGGCGCTCACAATATTGAGTTAAATCATCTTCAGGCATCGACTGCTGTGGTGGCGGTGCAGCTCGACGTGTTAATTCCTCTTCTTCTTTTTTCACTGCTTTTTGTGTGCCTTGTGTCACAACTTTCTTCTTTAAAACGGCACGAAGGATCTCACAGAGAACTGCAAATTTGTCACTGCACTCTTCGGGGTATAACTGATTCTTCACACATACATCCCGACACCCTTGCTGTAAATCAGCGAGTTTCCCTGAAAAGAAATCTTTCACACTATACACCGCAGGATGCCGCTCATATTGTAAACAAGTCATTAAAACATTATAAGTCTCAGTCATCGCCGCATCAGACTCAAAGTGTAATAAAATGCGCCGGATTAACGTCGTGATCTCTAAAATAGCACGCGGGTGACAGATCAACACTACTTTCTCATACATCGGACACATCGTTATTGGAATGTTAGATGTCTCGTTATACAATACAAACAACCCATTGAAGATGATCATCTCCCGCCGCGACCACGCATTCATCCCTCGCTTCTTACATAACACCGACGTCTTCTTATTCACATAATCTTGGAAATAATCCTCCTCGTAAAATTGCGTCGTCGGAACCGTCGAGATCGCTCGAAGAATCGTGAAGATCTGCACCGTGTCGTGCGGGCTCTGCGTGTGGATCGTATACACCTTCGAATTCTCGACTAAATCCGTCGTCACTAATTTAATCCGCCCCTCCTCTAAAGTCACATACGAAAACGATGAGTACAAAAGCTCCTCTAATGGCTCACCATGCCGAAGAAGATATAACTTCCGAATGTCAAAACGAAACCATAGAAGGCGATATTCAATCCGCTTGTTTTGACCGACGGCTACATCAAAGTACAACTGATTCAGCACTTTCCTTTGACTCGGGGGCGTCGTCTCCAGCTGCTCTATCTTCCGAAGTGACTCGTAGTCTAAGACGCGTGGCTGCGGCTTCATTCAGGTATTTTTGAAGTTTCGTGTTCGTCGTGAGATTAGTATAATTATTGGTTAAATTATAGTTTGTTAATGGTTTTGAAAAGGTTTTCAAAACATGGATATGGTTTTGTATAATTCGTATTACTATAATGTAAAAGTTCTTTAATTTCAAGAAAATATAATTCTCGTAACTATAAAATTACAATACAATAAATAAGTTATGATTAAAATAAATATAGTATAAAAATTTGTTATGTGTTGGTTATTACATATCACTCAATTCAAAGTACATTGGTTGGATTGTTTGCTTAGTTGAAATGCCCTTCATCCAATCTTCTTTGATAAATCATAGAGACGTTCAGCTTGGTCTTCAAATCGTGGAAAACCATGTAGTCTCCATAAACCTGCCAATCCCAATACATGTTCCCCCCAAATTTCTCTGGTGTGTAAAGTCTGACTTTTTTCTTACTTTCAATAGCAAATTTGTAAAGCCAATGCCCGAAGCCGGGGTCCTCCAAAGACGACGGCGCAAAGCAGTGGTAATGTTCCCAAGTTCCCATAAACTCAACTATGTCTCTTGAGAACATAGAGAAGAAGCCAAGTGGGAAGTAGAAGTACTTTGGGATATTCACAGCAAGTCTGTCGAAGTACTTGTGCTTGGGATCTCTGAATGGAGAATGATTCAAGAACACTCCAATCGACGTTCTTTTTGGTTCAATCGACATCAAGAAATCTGACAATAAGTCCGGTGTTACCATAACTTGATCATCAATTCGGGTGTAGAAGTTGTAACCTTTGAAGACATCCAACGCCATCAAATAAGCGTTTATGTTCTTGAGTTGTAATGTAAACCAACTCTCTTTCAGTTCGGGCATGTCAATGAAGTAGATGTCTCCAAAAGTGTTATTTTGTCGTATTATTTCGTCCATCTTCCCGCTCTGCTCCACAGTGGACTTGACCATGATGAAGGCACACTTGTACCCAAATTTCTTTTGATGATCCTTTTTACACCACGTTTCACGTGTCTTGTTGACATGGTCCATCTTCGATGGTACGGTGTGTATCAGTGCCATCCATATCTTGTCTGGATAGACTTGTGAAGCATTGTGTTCTGGCTGTGGGTACTTCCAGTTGACCTTTGCGTAAAAGGAATCTTTAGTCATGATTGGATAGCTTTCATCAACCGAGAAGTTCTTCCCATAGAACGATTTCACATACATTCTGTCCGTCTCGTCGAAGTAAAGACTGTAAACGCTCGCTATTAGTAGAGACAGCAAGACGAACATTGTTGTTTCTGTTCAAAATTTCACGCCTTTTATTCTCTCTCCTCACTTTCCGTTCCACAAAAGCAATCTTCTTTAAAATGATATATTATTTTTTATAGTTTCCATACTCAATTGTTGGTAGTATTTCATTTTTTTGATTAAAACAAAACGTAGACTATCTCATCATTTATCGTATTATTTTTAATGATATATTTATGAAATTTTAATAATACACAATTTATTATTTCCAAATTGATAATTTTTATTTATTTAATTTTTAATTTATATCAAAAATTAAACCATTAATTTAGTATTAATGGCTTAAGTTTGATACAGATTAAAACAGTTTCACCAAAAAATAATTTGTATTCTAATAAGCTATAAATATAATCACCTGATATAGTACATTGTTTCAATTATTTCCCAATAGAACCTTATTAAATTAGAAATAAACCAAACAATCACCAAGAAGTGGTTTAGATTCAATCTTTTCCATTTTGTTTTCTCTTTTTCGTTGTTTGATCCAATTTTTGACATATCTATAGTAAATGATTTGTGATATGATGACGACGGAAAGAGGTATAACAAAACACGACCCGACAACATAAGCGGCCTGTGCCTCATAAAAAGTTGGATCTCCCAAATCAATGCCACTTGTAAATATCGATATTGAGTAAAACACATTAGCGATGGTCGACATTAAAAATAGCAATATAGATAACCCCTCCACATCCTTCTTTCTATAGATATGCACAGCCTGTGGAAATCGACCGAAGAAGTATAACAGTCCCGACACCCACGCACTTACATCCCCAATAATTCGCTCGGTCAGTCCCGAATCCTTCACCCCACATATCGGTAAATTATTGCTTGAATTTGTTGAATTGTTTTCCGATAAAATATCTTGGCCAAATACCGATACAGTGACAATTAAAACGACAATTAAGAAATTGGTGTTGTTTGCGTAAGTGTCGTTTTGAGTTTCGACGTTTTCAATTTGAATTTCTGGTGAATTTTTGTTATTTTGGTCAAAACCATCGATTTCATCGTCTTTCTTCATTGTATTAGAAGAACTATTAGAATTACTATTAAAACGAGTGGGAGAAGGAGGGTCAGATAAATTCAGATATTTGTCTTTGGAATATTTCTTGCGACAGATGAGAAGGTACCAAGCATATTGAGATAACATAACTATATCTATTAATACAAAATAGATTGATGTAAGTAATTGGACTTGAGTTTGATTAGTAAATATACAACCTATCAAATTTGTTAAATCTCCCCCAAGCCACATCACTAAAAACGTGATTGACAAACTTTCGGGTTTTTTAGATTTGAACGTTTGATAGATTTGCGGAAATTGCGCAAACATCCAAAACATTATGTTGATCAATCCACATATATATGAAAAAACATCAACCCCGTCATAAAAACAATTGTGTGTGTAATCTTGAAAAAAACTAATCGCTTCGGCTCCGTTGACGGGAGGACAATAACATGACATGTTTCAACACCTCTACTTTCTTCGTTCCGCCATTTTTATTCTTCCATTCTAATTATTTTATTATAGTTAATTTTATTATTGTGGTTATAGTTGTTTATGATTGGCAAATCTTTTTAAGGGTTATTTGAAGGATTGAAAAAAAGGATTTCGATCATTCGTTTTTTTCTGCGTGTTTTAAAATATTTTCCTTTTTTCAAAAAGGACAACATTTATTAAATAGAATTTAATAGTGAATTAATATTTTTATTAACAATTACAACTTAAGTAAAATTAATTATATTTTTACTATATAATAGTATCTTAAAATAATAGTTATATATTTCATTAGTAAATAATATTTAAAAATTAATTATAATAATATAATAAATTAACTATAAAAATAATTAAAACCATGAAACAATTTATTTAAATTAATTTTATAAATAACAATAACAAATGTCGCATTTATTTATACGAGAACCTTTTTTTCCTTTGTAAGTCACACTCTTGCACTGTTCAAAACAGTTATCTCCACAAGAAGTTAGAGTACTGGGGATATCAAGAACAAGAGAACTACACCCACTAAAACAATAGCTTTGTATATTAATAATACTGTTTGGTATAATACATGTACTTAGACTTGTACAATTATTAAAGGCACTTTCCCCAAGTCGACTTACGAATTCTGGAATCAGAACGGACTCTAATTTTTCACAAAAATAGAAACAACAATTTGGAACTTCTTTTAAACAAAGAGGAAGTGTGATTGTTCTCAATGAAGTACATTCCCTAAAACATCCATTTCCAAGTAAAGACAGACTACTTGGGAGAGTTATATTAACAAGGGAATGACATTTGTTAAAACACATCTTCCCGATTTCTTTGACACTTCCAATGGTAACGGCTGTCAAAGAATAACACCCATAAAATGCACTATCACCCACTCTCAGTAAGCACTCGGCTATTTCGACGTTCTTAAGAGCTTCACAAAACTTAAAACAGCAATTTCCAATGAACCCAATTTTAGAAGGAAATGTGACGCTCTGCAAAGACGTGCAATAAATGAACACACAACTCGCTAAATTAGAAATTTGCTGAGGGAGACATATGCACTTCAATTTGCAACAATTAGAAAAACAGTTGTCGTTAATTCGAGACACAGAAAGGGGGAGACTGATCGATTCAAGACTACAACACCCGTGGAACACATGTGCCCCAATATGTTGTAAATTATTTGGAAGTGTAATTGCCGTTAAATTCTGACACGAATAAAAAGCGAATTCCTCAATGGCAGTTACCCTCTTAGGAATTTGTATAGTAATTATATCAGATTCACTAAAACACGCAACTCCAACTCTTTTGACGACATTTGGTATGATCGTCCCATATTTCCGTCTGTCTGTATTCGTATAACTAACATTTCTAAAAATAACATTTGAATTATTAGATTGGTGGAAGTTAGAAAGGGCATAACTCACCTCACACCACACACAAATTTGGAAGAAGTCCACTCGATCAGATAAACACGTATTGAGTGGGGGTTCAATATCAAAAATGACATTTCCAAAAGTCTCCTCTTTAGGACTACAAATGTTTAATGTCTCGATGTGGGAAAAGAACTTTAAAGTCTTGGTGTCGACAGGGACCGGGTTGTAATGGAACTTCTGCAAATTACCTTCAAACTTTTTACACACAAACTCAAGTGAAATGAAGTCCTTGACTGTTAAAAAGTGTTGTGAGACTACCATCATATGATAACCGTCTAATTTGCTCATTTTATGAAATTCGTTTGGATTTAAAGTCCACACCAATTCTTTTATAATTGTGATTTTATTTTTAAATCAAAGCATTTCGCAATGTTTTTCATTTATTTTTAATTATACTTATATCTTAGGGAATTCTAATGACAGGTGTTAATATTATTCCGGCAATAACAATAATTGAAAATATATAGTTTTTGTAATTAATATAATAAGTAGTTTAATAATTCGTTTAATTAACTATTGAATTAATAAACGAAACTATATATAAAGTAAAATAAATGAAGTATAGAAAAAATAAGAAATAAAAAAACTCTATTATTTATATTATTAATATAATTATTAATATAATTATTAATATAATTATTATACTTAGTGTTTAATTAAAATGCTAAATTGTTTTTTTAGAAATGTTCAAAAAGATAAATCTGGAATATCGAATGAATGGATTGGGAGTTAAACCATATTTTTATTTTAACCATCTCTCGCTCTCGGACCAGATGAGAAAGGAAAAGGACACTATTACATTAAAGGAGCTTTTTAACACGCCAGTTTGTTGTATACGTGACGCGAATTATTAATCTAGAATCTGATTTGAAGGGAGAGTTGTATGCATGTTTCTTGACAACTTTTGTGTTTGATATTGGCTGGCTTCTGAGAGAAGTGCCCATTTTAAAAACCGTTCAAGTACAATTTGTCCACGACGGCAGTCTGAGTGAAGACGAGGAAAGACTGATTCACAACTTGGATTTCCAGTGTATAAAGGTATCACCCTTTCGCGGGTGTCATCACGTCAAAATTATGGTTATGCTATATGAAGGTGGGTTGCGGTTTGTGCTGTCCACTGGCAATCTTCTCGAACAAGATTACGAAATAAAGACGAATGGAATATATGTTCGAGACTTCAAGCCAAAAAGCAACTCTTTTTCGAAGATGAATGACATTGGCGAGCACTTTCTTACAACCATGAGGTACTATCTCAACTCAATCAACACTGACATCGGCTATTTAGATGACTTTGACTTCTCCACCATCGACGCTTGGCTTCTTCTTTCAGTCCCAGGAAAGTTTCATGGTGACATGGCCTCGGAGGTTGGTCTTGGTCAACTTTCTTCTCTTTTGAAAAGTTTTTCTTTTGGTTCCCAGAAAGACCAAAAAACACAAGAAGAGCACAAAACTTCTGCCCTTATAAATCCTGTTGTTCCGACAAAACAATCTCAAAAAACCTCAACCTCTCAAAAAGGTCTCAAATCTCCCGAGATTGAATGTGCAGAACAAGCAGTCATCATTTCACAATCTTCCTCTCTGGGGTATTTAAGCTCAAATTTTACAGAGAAATTTAAATCAAGTTTTGTGCCAAATGTGCACCACATCCAACTCAAGACACTCTGGCCGACAGAGGACTTTGTGCGCGTCTCAGCAACGGGCTACGCTGGTGGTCAATCCTTATTCCTCACACAGCAGAATGTAAAGTCTGGTGTTGCGCTGTATAGGTATGAGCCGCGCTTCCCACGGCACTATATCCAGCCCCACATCAAGACATACTTAGTAAAGGTTGGCGATACGTTTAGGTGTGGTGTTCTGACTTCCGCAAATATGAGTGCGGCAGCGTGGGGTAAGCCGATGAGTTACGGAATTGATATTTCAAATTTTGAAATGGGACTTCTCTTTGTTGAAAATTTTGATGTGAATAGATTCAAAATTCCATTTGACTCAAACGATCTGAAGGCGTATGGCCCGGATGACAGGCCGTGGATAGTTGATGTTGACCATAGTGTTATGGACTCGGAGGGATATATAATGAAGGATGGCAATTTAGTTGCTGTGTAAGTGTTACTATAATCTATAGTTTAAATATAATTATTTCACATTTTGTTCTTTACGAACTTAATAAAATGTTTTGGAACTTTAAATTTGAAAAAAATGTCTGCAGAGATTACAACACGTTTAACGAAGAATCAAGAAACAGTTGATGAGATACAAAGCGAGATCGACGATATCACAAAACGAATGGACGATTTGGACGCAAACATCAAATATGTGACGGACTATTATTACCCACCAGAGGACCAACAATATGTCCAACAAACCCAGCAATAGTTTTATGTGTTTTCATCTAAAAAAGGGAATTTTCATTCATCTCATTTATAATTTTTCAGTGATCATTTTAAAGTTAAAATAAGTTTTTATACTAATATTTTAATAATTAAATATAGTTTAAAACATCTTACTTAGTTATTTTTATACAAAGAAAATTGTTCAATTAAACAGCTTAATTTGTTGGACATTTTGAACAATTTCAAACAATTAGATCAAGCAAAACACCGATTTTGATGGTACTGTTTTTTCTCAATCTGCCACGATGAAAAAAGAAACTCAAAAAGCTCAAGAGGAAACATGTCTCTTGATCATCAACTGAGTGACTCATCACCACAAGCCGGTGATTACATCTTTGACATTGTAGTAGAGAAGGGACGTAATCTACCCAAAGCTGATGTAGCTCAGCGTATTGATGGGTTTGTTGTCCTTTCATTTTCTGTGAGTCAAAAATGCAAAAAGAATGGCGGTGAACTCTCAGATGAAGAGGACCAAAAGAAGACTTATGTAATGAGCACAAGACAAAGGTCTTGTCAAACTAAAGCCATTCTCAATACTTATAACCCCGTCTGGGACTCCCGCTTCCTTTTACACCACTTAGCCACCGGAGATATCACTATCGAGTTGTTCGATTGGGACCGAGTCAGCGCAAATGATTTCATTGGTGACAAAAAGGTGAATGTCGTCGACTTGGCGTCCGGTTTTATTAACTTTCCAGTCCCTTTAGACTTGCAAGAGGAGTATCTGGAGCAACGCGTCGACAACCAACAACCCACGGAAATCTACTTCTCCTTCGGGAAGATCTTAACCTTCGACTATGTCGTCAAAACAGTCGAAGAAGACACTAAGAAGTTTGCGGGGATCATTGATCGACCTAAAAACCGCACTACAATGAAGCCCATGAAAGGCCCTCTTCTGCAAGATCATTCCGACAATCACAAAATGAAAGGTGACAAGATTGCCAAGATTGAAAAGATCGAAAAGGCGGAGAAAGTGGAAAAAAAAGAGAAACCTGAGAAATCCGAAAAAACTGACGAAGAAAAAACGAAAGACGAAAAAATTGAAGCCGAGATTGCCGAAGAAGATGAGAATGAGTTTTACATTCATCACAAAGAGAAAGAGATTGTGCGCTCCTTAAAAAGTGTTGGAATAGAAGGGGCGTATTTTGGGATTAAATATAATGAGAACAACACTGTTGACTTTACTGTGATGTCTCGAGACAAGAATTGTGTTTTATACATATCGAGTGAGGAAGGCTTTAATAAAAAGTTCTTAGTGACGGTCACCCGTGACGACGAGTATTTTTCAGTTCTTGGGAAGAAAGTGAAGTACTCGTTTGTGATGGCGAAAGTTCCGCTGTGTAACCCCCTCTCATTCTTCTCGCTAAGGAAGTTGAAAGAGGCGGAAGTTCTGACTTTGGATCAAATAACGACGAAACGTGGGTGGAAAGGGAAGATGTCATATTATCAAGCCACGTTGACATTACAAGACAGTTTCTTTATTGATATGGATGAACGCATTTTGATGAATGAAAAGGACTTTATATTGGGGGTTAAAGATCATGTGAAAACGTCCGAATTAGTTATTTACCCAAAACAGAGTTCAAAGATTTGGATGGGGCTCTTCGACCATCAAACACCAAATGAAATTTTAATGTTCGATAAAAATAGAAAGTTCGACGAAATTGAAGATACAATCACTTCAAAAATTTTTGTCCAAAAGGAATTCCCTGTTATTCATAAGGACGTCACTCTCAGACTCTTCGATGAAGACCCGTCTTTTGAAAGCATCTTTTTGGTCGATTTAATCCCTTTCTTGGTCTAATTCATTTTTCTATTTGTTAATAGTTCGGTATTTCAAATATATTTTATTAGAGTTGTATAGTTATTGTTTTATCATTTTGTTGTTTGTGCTGTTTTAGTTTAAAATAAGTAAGTTTAACTATTCTATTTTAGTTTATTTTTTTTTTTGAATTATCAAAAGAGTTAAATTATAATTGATTTATAATAAATAATTTTTCATTAAAAATATTTTGATAATTTTATAATAAAAATATAATACAAATTTTTTTAATTAAAAATGGTTTTAATTTTATTTATTATAATAAAAAAAAACCGTATTAATTGTTTTAATATAAATTTATTATTAATTAAACCCAGTTGTTTTCAACTAAATATTGTATTATAATTTAATATATATATTATTAATCTAAATTGATTTTTGATTTTTTTTCTAATTACCTCTATTATATAATGAATAGTAATTTACCATTAAGTAATACCAACTGACAAATAAACTAGAACATAATTATATTTTAATTAGAGTCATTACTGATGCACACTATTCTATTTTAAGAAGGAAAAATGAAAAATAAGAAATATGAAAACACTAAGTAAAGGAAAAAAGGAAGAAGAATGGGGAGCGACTTTGTTCCTCATCATACCGAATATGTTCGATACAAAGTGATAGCGGTGACAATACTGACTTTTATCTTTGCACTCACGCTCTCCCTTTTTGTAGCTCAGAATGTTTTCTTGGGGATTGACACAATGTACGTAGCAATGGTCTTCTATATCTTGTGCTATATTCCACCAATCAGTCTCACAATATGGTCCTATTACAGAACAGTCTTCACAGACGTCTGGTTGCCAAATGACATTGACACACAACAAGGGTTTAGGAAGTGCAAGAGGTGTCATCACAACAAGCCGGAGAGGACTCATCATTGCAGTCAGTGTAAGGCTTGTGTCTTAAAAATGGACCATCACTGCCCATGGTTTGTTTTATAGTACTTTTACTATTAACTTCATAGTAATTGTTTTATAGTACTTTTACTATTAAAGTCATAGTAAATGATTTATAGTACTTTTACTATAAAAGTCACGTTTCTAGTAACTGATTGATACGTAGGCTGGGGACCTGTGTCGGGTATAGAAATCACAAGTTCTTTGTCCTCTTTTTGGTGTACGCATTCATCACAAGTCTCATCGTCATGATTTTCTCGGCTTCTTTTGCTATCAATTTCTTCGTCAGAAATAACTCCTTCGACCTCAGAAGTGTCCCAGACATCTTCCAATTTTTCGTCGGGACCATTTTCATCTTCTCGTCGGGGTCGATGCTCTGCGTGCAAGTACCAATCGTCTTAACAAACACTACTACGATAGACAGAGATTCATTCTATATCTGTAGTACTCAGGCATCCAGGCAGGCAAATCAATACGACTTGGGAACCGCCAACAACATTAAAATGTTTTTTGGAAAGAATTTCTTGAAGGCTATTGTCCCAATTTTCTCAACAGAGGGAGACGGTATGCACTGGACTAAAAACACCGAGTACGTCCAAATCGACGAGGAACAAAACGAGTAAAGGCGATTGCACAATAGATTTTTGTTTAGTTTCGTTACTATATATATAGTTTCATTGTGTCTCATACTATACATCATTCTTTTATTAATAATAAAACTAATAATTATAAATTAAATTTCAATAATGCAATTGAGTGCTGTTATTACTTAATCTGGCCAATTTAATGAGACCATTATAGGCTATGTTGTTCTTAAAACTGTCTCTCCAATAACACTAAGTTATGGGTTCCTTGAAATATCAATGAGATACACGGCTTTAAAAATGATAGCAAATAATAAAACGATAATACAACCATATCCGGCTTCCACAGGTATAATCCCACCCGATTACTTATTGCTAGGGTTGACTGATATTAATACTAAAACTATAGATTGTATAGAATTAATTGGTGCAAAGAGTCGACTTGAAAAAGAGTACACTCCTGGGGTTTACACATTTCCTTTTTCATTTAAAGTCCCCCTCGACATTCCACCGTCGTCTTTGTATAATGAAGAAGATCCAAAAATTGATTTTTGTTATGGAGTTACACCTTTCTTTGTTGATAAGAAGAAATTTTTTAAAGGTGATCTTACGCTTTTTCCAGTCGTATTTAATTTGCCAGTTATTAAAAGATCTTATTTACAGAAATTCAGAATTCTTTTATAATGGGGAAGTCCGTGGTGACTCTTCTAATGCCAAAAAAGGAATATCATATAGGGGAAGACATTACTTTTCATATAAAAATCGAGTCAAGAAGTTCACAAGAGAATCAAGATTACACAGTTTCGTTAATACAAATGTATAACACATATTACCTTTATTACAGAAATGTTATTCAAACAGTAGAAATCAGTGGCGCACAACGAATAAGTGAGAATGAAATAATTTTTCATCAAGATATTACTCTCCCACCCAGTTTAAATAGAATGGATATGAATGTGACGTATTTCATAGTAATTAGAATGGTACAAAATACTCAAAAGAAGACGAAAGACAATATAGAAAGCCTTTATAGTATTAATATATTATCTAATATCCCTGACGAGGCACAAATTGAAAACCATCAAAAGAAAAGTCCAATTCATTTTGTAGACGAAAAATATAACTTCCCCGAACCTCCTCGGAATTTTTTGTGATGGTGGCTTAGAGAAAGTGGTGATAGACTTAAACGGACATAAAGAAGTGTTGTTGTACCACATCAATCGAGTCGTTTTGGATACCAACAAACAGAACGTTTATATCAAATATCCACTTCTAGAGTCCGAGACATTGCCAAGTGGCTGTGTGTTTGGGGTATATCGAGGTAAACGATATATAGTAGATTATATCAACAAGAAAGCAAATTGGGACTTAGAAGAAGAAGAGAGCTTGGAAGTCACACAAGCAGCTCTAAGTGGTTGCGCGAGTCCAATTTTAACAGTCGAAGTTGTCAAGTCTGTTGGATTGTGTGTGAAAGACTTTGAAACGCCGTCGACTGTCTATTGCGCAGTTGTTAATGAAAGTGGGAAATTGGTGAAGTCAAAGGAAGTCAAAAACGTCGACCAAGTCTACGAGAATGCTCGTTTTGTTATTCCATTACACCTCAAAAGAAAGAATGTTGTTGTTTACTTTTATCATAAAAGATTTTTAATAAGTGACGTGTTTCTTGGATGCGTGGAGTTTGATTTGACACATCTGAAGTTTGGGAGGAATATAGAGACGTGGTTCTATTTGAAAGGCGGAGATGATGGAAACTCAATTGTTTCCGGAAAAGCACTTATTCGAGTGTGTTATGATAGCAAAGAGAAAAAAGATGGATGGAATGTGGTCGGCGAATTGTTTAGAGAAAATTTTGATTATTCACTCGCACATAATAGAGAAATGGAAAAAGCTATGGAGGCACAAAACACTTTAAGACAAAAACTTTTTGCAACACCAATTTATGAAAAAATAGGCAAGGAGTATTTCCCTGTCAATTACGACTAAAGGGGTGGAAAAAAACCGTTTCAGAAAAAAATTCCTGTTGATAATTTAATGGTAAAATGATAATATGATTATGGTTTTTTGTATAGTTTATTTTTTTTCCTTTTCCTCGATTTGATTCAAAAAACAGGGTTTACAAAAGTCTCTTGTTTTGATGTTTGTAAAGACATGCACCACACCTGCACTAGCCCATATAACAATTTCAAAAACAAAAAACATAATAATTGTTAAAGGGGTGGAAAAAACTCATTATTTTTTAAATGATATTTCTTTAACACTTAAAAGGTACAGATAGAGTATTTAATGGGTGCCAAAAAATTAGAGGATTGATTGATGTAAAAATACGGGTTTTAATTTTTTGTTTTTTATTTGTTTTTTTTTCTTGATAATAATTGATATGAAAATGTATGCCAAACCCATTTCATGTCTTAAAATAATTCTGGCACCCCATAAATACTCGATCTGTATACAAAATGCGTTTTTGGGAAATGATGTTCAAAAATAACAAAACAATTCAAAAATATAATGTTTTATAAAAATTTAAATAAAATAATTAAAAACCTATAAAATTAAACTAGTCTTAGCTTAAAAAATTGAATGGCGGTTGAAGTATACCCTTGCAGACATTTTTTTTTGCCGAGCCTTGTGTTTTTTGAAAGCTTTTTGTCCCAAAAGTACACTTTAAAAAAGTTTTTTAAGTATCCCGTTTTTTGTCAACGAAACAGGCCTTTGTTAAATCTAAAAAAAAAATAAAAGAAAAAAAAATATTTTTAAATTAAAAGTCGCTAACCTATATTTATAAATTAAATACAACTAAATTTACTTATAAAAAAGATAAAATAATCAATATTAAAACTATTTTAAAATCATAAAATAATTATTTAAAATAACTAAAAAAAATAAAAAATAAAATAAAAAATGATGAATAACCAAGGTTATTTTGTGAGAAAAAAACAAAAAGCTAAAAGTAAATATTTATTTTACCACAAAAAACAAACTTGAGATTAAAATAAAACTCAAAAAATCTTACATTTACATGAGAACCACAGCTTTACTTTTTCTACACACGTTTTCTTTTTGTATCAATCAAGAAGAGAATATACACACAAATCACCCACCACTCAAACGAACAATAAAGGAAGGAACAAAAAATAATAAAAAGAAAACAATAAGAAATATCAAATCAACTCAATACACAGAGGAAGTATCTATACAACAAATTACAACAAATTAACTGATATTACAAACAGTACAAAGTGATGGTAATTAATTGACACAACAGTCTTTAACTAAATTTCAAAATAACAGCCAACCAACACACATTGCACAAAGTCAAAAGAGTGTCAATTTAATTCCACAGACATTTCACACACAACAATCATTTCAACGCCAGAATATTCAAAACACTCATAACATTGACGCTGATAATTTGATACACAATTCATAGTACAAAAACAACATGCCAAACAACTGAACATCCTCAACCACTTTTGACCATGGTTGAAACTCAGAAACAACCATCACGTAACAACACTTTAATAGCATCACAAAGATCATTAATTGTCAATGAGGAAGAATTTGAAAAATAATATGCGGGAGACACACCAACAAGACAGAGTCGTCGAAGTGAAAATGAAATTGATTATAACGCAGAAATAACAATAAAATCCACATTCCCAACAAAACCCACTTTTAATGAAAAATGTTTAAATTATCCAATAAAAATGTTATTAAAACTTACATCATCAACAATTTTTTGATTTAACAGGATTAACAAATGATGAATTTGACGATTTTTTTGATATAATATTATAAAATGGAAATGGAACGTGGAAAACAGAAAATATGTTAAACATTGAATTGATTAAAATATACTCTTAGTATAGTGTTGTTAAAAATTATTCGAAAACAATTCAAATGTAAAAACGTTTGATTGTTTGATACTGTTTTTTTGTTTTTTTACAAGAAAAAAAGTTTTGTTTAACAGAACAAACTTTTTGTTTTAAATAAAATTAAACCTTAAACTATTTTAATAATTTTTGATTAAACAGTTTGATTTGGCAAAACTGTTTAATAAAATAACAAATGAAGAATTTATTAAACAATTGCAAACTATTTTAAATGGTATTAAATATTATATATTTAATTAACCAAATACTCTGTCATTAAAATGGACCGTATTTGACTCTGGAACTATATTTTAACTATCAGTCTTATAATTCAAATATAAATATATTATAATTTTAAAAAAATTATAAAATATAAAAATTAATTAAAAATCTCATAATGTAATACAGTTAATCAATTATAATTATTGTTATAAATAACAAACATTATAATTACAATATTATAAATTGAAATTATAAAAGTAAAAATTGTATTCACTGGTTTGAAAGAAATAAACAGCTTAAATACCAACGTTCTTATTGATCATTAGTTTCAAGCATTTGTCTCATGATATCCATCGTCAGGAAAGAGTCGATAAAGGTCAACATCTCAAGTTTTTTTGGAAGTAATCTATTCCTTCTGTCCAGATAATAGCACCCACTCTTTGAGAATAACCTTTCTGATGGAGTGCTGGCGCAAAGAAGGGTCGTATATCGTAGTGCAACCTTTGCCAAGTCCGGCCACATTACCATCTTTCTTCTCCAATGTCGAGTAAGCGTTATATTAGAATTCTCATCCAAGACCGGTTGAGATTCATATTCCGCCATTTGGATGATTTATGCCGTTTTCTGGATGGACTTACGAACAAGAATATTTGCATATCTTCCCTCAAAAGACTGAACTGTTATGGCTTCAGTGTTGCTCATATTTTTAATTGATGTATAATTTGTACATTCATTATGATAGTTATCTTCTTCCGTCTTTATTCTCTCTGCGGTTTCTTCAATTGATGCATGGGCATTGTCGATGAGTTCTTTAAAATTTGGGTATATCATCAACTTTGTCATTGGATTGAAATAACATGCCATCATCACTTCTTTTGACCCCAAAATGTTGTAGTTACCTTCATAAAAGTAATTTTTTACTCCAAATTGGAGTGATTCTATAGATTCACTTTTCCTTTTATGCAGTTCAACTCTCATGTGTGTTTCTGTGATGGTTGAATTCTCCAATGAAACATCTTCGATCACCACTCTTCACTACACTTGGTCCCCTGTGTTGTACTTATAATTACGCGTGTTTCCATTACATTTTCAATTTTTCCTAGTGATTCAGTTTTCTGGCAAGAAAGACAGTTTTCCAAATGTAGAATTGCTCCACATAAAATCGACATGGTTGGCATCATTTCGGAAGACAGTAAATCGCTTGTGGACTTTAAAGTATCGACTATATTGATGATGAATGTTAGAAGGTTTTTGTCGTAGTCAGTAACGATGTATTTTGTTATGAAGAGTCTTCTTTAAACGTCGTCCGTTATTTTATTTGCGTTCTTTTTCATCACTTCATTGATTTCTTCAAAGTTGTCTCGTACACAACAAAGCATCCCCAACTTACTAAACCATCTAGTTTCAATATCATTTAACAATATTTTCACAAACCCCTTGTTGTTAGTTCGAAATTTAGCCAATAAATGGGAATTTGCTCTTGAATTTTTAATTTTAGAAACTATTTGTTTCATTTTTTTAAAGAAATTTGCTATTAAAGTATTTTCAACAATCGCATTTTTGAATAACAAATCCAATTTGTGGCAACAACACCCAAAGTGTGTATATCCCGCTCCAGTTATACATGCTTTGACATCGTTTGCGTTGTCTAATATTATAACGAACTTTCCGAACCTTTCCAATACCCATTTTTTCAACGGTTTGTTTGATTTAATTGGCAATATTCGAACTGGAATGTAAACTGGGTTTCAAAAGTCGGTACTGAGGTGTCCCGATTTTTTGCATTTATTTTGTATATTATTTTTGGGAATCGTTTTTTGTAATAAATTCGCTTATTTTTTCCAAGTAAAAAAGAGAAAAACAGTCTTCAAAAAATATTTTTTTACTTGAAGAATTTTTAAGCATTAAAAAATTCCATATAAAATTTGCAATAACGGGTTTTTTGTTTTTGAAATACACGTGAATGATCACAAAAGTGCATTTTATTATAAAAAGCTGATAAATTTAATGCCAAAAATTTTCAAAGTCGAGTCTTCATTTATAATAATAAAATAAATAACAAGCGCTAAAGTATCGCGTAATATCGATATACTGATGGTGTTGTCACAACAATGACTGAAATATCAAAACACAAAATTATTAATTGTTTGCTCTTATTTATTTTTTCTTTAAAACTCGTTATTTCATTTTCTTTTGTTTAAAGAACAAAACCACATGTTTGTTTTTAATTAAAATGAAAAACTAACGAAACTGATATTCAGTTACAAATTGACACAAACAACAACATCCAAATTTATTGACGTGTTTGTCGTTGTATGATTTGACCAACAACGTTGAGTTTGTGTTGTGAAGTATCGAGTTGTGGTCAAATCAAATAATGGGATCGGTTTTTTTTGGAAAAGGCTGGCCTATATTCCGATAAATTCCCGATATTGAACAAAAATAATTGAACGGTATTGGTATTTTTTTCAAAATCAAGTCTGTACTTTCGATTTTTTGTTTTTTTTTGTTTTTTAGGAAAAATAAAAAATAAAAAACGGGACTTTAGGAAGTTTTAAAAATACTGCGGTACAGACTTTTGAACTACAGTTTACTTCTGGGAATGGCATCAACTCTAACACCAATTTTCTTACAACAGTTCCATAAGAACAGTGCAGCGTAAAACTAAAAAAACGAATCTTGGTTTCTAGAAGACCGCCCATCAATGGTTCCACAAATCCCTCCATCGATTTTGGTTATTTCACTTTGTACCAATTCTGAGACATGATCTCTCAATTTGGGAAGACGTTCATCGATCACAGTTTGTCTACAAGGTATTTTATACCCAGGACACGCCTGTTCGAGTAATAAAACAAAAGCATCATACTCTACCAATGAAATGGGTACAAAAAT